GCTGTCGCAGCTGGGGCGCAGGTGGGCGCGAGGCCTTGCCTGGGAGGGGAAGGGCCGCTCCTGGGGCTGGGCCCGCGCTCCCACCTTGGGGCTCCCGGGACCAAGGTGCCTGCCCGCCCAGACCCTCAGAGGTCACGTCTCGCGCCTCCGTTTTGGGGGTCACTCTTCACACCCTGGGGGAGCTGGGCCCCTGGGCCTTGCTCTGGGAGCACCCCAGCTTCCCTCATTTGGGGGTGCCCGCCTCGCTTCCCCATTCTGACAGCGGGGTGTGACGGGCTCGGGATGACCAGACTATGCTCCTGCACTTCGGGGAACGGAGGAGGGCCATGGCCCCACGAACCCCACCACTGACTTTGGAGGTGTTGGTCTCTTCCCAGGACGTATCCCCGTCCACACGAGTACCTGTCCCCGTCGGATCTTCCCAAGAGCTGGGACTGGCGCAGCATGGATGGTGTCAATTATGCCAGCGTCACCAGGAACCAGCACATCCCCCAGTACTGTGGCTCCTGCTGGGCCCACGGCAGCACTAGTGCCATGGCAGGTGGGTGACATGGGCCCAGGGTCTCACCATGGGTTCTGACCAGACCGTGGGTCCAGAAAGCCAGCCCTGGCTGCCCCCAGGGTCATTCTGAGGTTCTCCCCTGGCCTCCCCTGACAAGGCAAGAACGGCAGGCTAGAATGGGGTTGGAGCTCAGGGGCAGGGGGCTCCCTCATTACTCTCTCCCTCCCAGATCTTGTGACTTCAGCCATTGGGATGGAACCAGAAAAGCAAAATCACTGAGCCCCAACCCTGTCCTTGGGGACAAGGAAGTGAAACTGCTTCTCAGCAGCAGTTCAAGTTCAAGATCAGTTCTGCCTTGGGCTTGAGTGAGGCCTGCAGGCTGTGGCTCCAGCCTTACCTCATCACTGTCCCCAGCCTGGCCATTTTTCTTGTCTGGACCTTGATCTGGTCGCAGTGAGGGCAGGGAGGAAGGGAATCTGGAGGCCACAACCTCCCAAGGGCTGCTCTGCCCAGGCCAAGGAGAGAAGGCAAATCCCAGAAGCCCCAGGCCTGTCCACAGCACATGGGAGGGACCCTGGCGTCCCATGGCTGCCAGGGTTCCAGGATCCTGAGGAGGGACTTGCCTGGCTGGGAGTTGGGGGAGGAGGGGAGCAGGTGCTGTCTCCTCCCCTGGTTTGGCATCTCTCTGGCCAGGCCTGTTGTAGGTGTGGCCTGTGTTGAAAGGATTAGCAGCTATACCGAGGCTCTGGGGAAAGAACTCCTGTGTGCACTATCTTATTTAAACCTCTGGCTGCCACGATAGCACTTAGCAGGTGAGGAAACAGTCTTCTTGGGGGAGGTGGCAAGACTTGGCACGGTGTGAGTGACAGCTGGGATTCAAGCTCAGACGCCTAGGGCAGCTCGGGAGGATTCCTGTTGGGCTGGGGTCTGCATCCCAGAGCTGACCGGCTCTGGCTGTGGCATCTGGCAGAGTCTCCTGGAAGCCTGACTGTCTCTGGGGACTGACGAGGAGCCCTGTGAGGGCCAGAGCATTACTTGACCCTTCGGGAAGGAAGCCGAAGGAGTGCAGACCCCTTTGATTGGGTCTGTTAGACCAGGCCTGGTGGGGCTGACACTGGGGAAGTGAAAGCCTCAGCGGGGTGGGGTGAGGATGGTGGGAGATTGCAGTGTAGGAAAGAGATGGCTGCTGCAGGCCTTGTGTGCCTTGTCCCCCCCTCGGATGGGTCCTGGGCCCTGGCCGCGTGTCAGTCCCACATTTTTGGAGTAGAATCTCTCTCGGGGAAGAAGGCAGCTTCTCTTTCTCCTTGAAACTCTGACATTTTGTTCAGCAGCAGCCAAGGCCCATGCTTCCTCTTTCACTGAGAAGACAGAAGCCACCAGAGGGGACTTCACGTGGGGCTGCCAGGCAGCCGTGGGGTCAGAGCTCTCCTTCCTCCTGTCCCTAGAGATCAAGCATCCAAACCTCTCTCAGAGGCCACCCTCCCTGTCGCAGGCCACCATCCTTCAGCTAGTCTGGGAAGCCCTCTCACCTCCAACAGAAGTGCCTTGATCCCGCCCTACCCCACTTCCAGAGTCTCCCTCTTCCTGTTTTTCTTCGCCACCCTGGAGCCCATGCTGGCCTCACTGTGCCCGCCAGTGCTCCTGCCATGCTCGGGGGATGACAGCCTCCTCGTGGGCTCTCCGCAGTCACCTCCCCTAGGAAGGAGAGGGAGCCAGGAGGGACAAGGGAGGAGACACCTGGTATAGGATTCGCCTTTGGTGTTTGGGACAGCCCGGCTAAATGGTAGCTCACTGTCTGGATTCTCTCCCCGTTGTGGCCCCTCAGAGCCCTGCGGACTTTGTCCCATTCCGTTGTCCTTATCCTGTCCCAGTGGCATTTCAGAGGAAGCCCTCCAGCGTGAGCCCCACGAGGCAGAGCTCAGGTCTGCTTTCCCCGCTGAGAACCCAGTGCTCAGCACGCATCCGGTGTGACCACACGTGTTATTCCAACTACTCAGGTGGCTGAGGCAGGAGGGTTGCAAGGTTGAGGTCAGCCTGGGCTACTTAGCAAAACCCTGTCTCAATTTTTTTTTTTTTTTTTTTTTTTACAATGGGCTGGGCATGCGGCTCAAAGGTATAGTGCTTGTTTAGCATGTAGGAGGCCCTGATATTCATTCAAAATACCAGAAAAAGAAAAGAAAAGAAAGAAACCTGCTGACGAACTAGGAAGATGAGGAGGGATGGAAGCGGTTGGACTTTTGGGCTGGCCATGGGAAGAGGCCTGGTACTGCCCCAGCCCATCAGTGCCGTTGAGACTGGACCCCCAGGGGTACGTGGTGGGACGGTCCAGCCAGGCACTGCCCGGGCCATGGCCACTGTGACCTGCAGGCAGGGAGTCAGTGAGAGGACTGAAGGGCCCTGCCAGGGCTGAGCACAGCTAACGGGCCCAGGCAGGCGATGCCCCAGAAGGCTGGAGCAGCCACTCTGCCAGCCAGCACTAGGAGGGTCAGAGCAGACGAAGAGGAGAAGTGGTTGGGACTGGCCCCGCGGAGGTGGGGACCCTGAGCACAGCAAGCCGAGCAGTGCTGCTGCGAGGCAGGCTGGTGGGGGTGTGGTGCTGTCATCCCTGAGGGGAGCTGCTGAAGCGAACGGGAGGAGGGAGGCTGGGGCTACATCCCAGGGAAGGAAGCAAGAGGGGCCTGGGCACGGAAACTTGGACTAGGTAGTGGCAAGGTGAGGCTGCTTCTGTGCTTTTCAGCAGCATGCCCAGCAGGGTCATCGGGTAGGAGGTGTAGGCTCCAGAAGGCCCTGGGCTGGTTGGGTGGGCAGACTCGGGTACCCGGGAGAGTCTGGGAGGTGCCAGGGTGGGATGCAGGCTGGGAGAGGCTGCTCCAGGCTGGAGGTAATGAGGGGAAGGGAAGGGGGGTGGGAGCTGCAGGCCACGAGGCCTGAGGTAGGTGGCTGGAGGTCTTTTGTGACACTGTCCCAGAAAGCGGAGAGCAAGATGGCCCTGGACTGGGCAGGACTGGCAAGCAGGCCTGGGGCCTCTTCGGGAAGTAGATGAATTGGCCTCTGGAGGGTGCCATGGCTGCCCTTGGCTGTCTCTGGCTGCCTCTCAGCCAGACAGTGTGGCCTTGTGCTCTCAGTGTGCTCAGGGACTAGGTCCCCGCCAGCCTTGTCCAGTTCCCTGGAGGGCATCTGTCCCCTCAGGTGTCCGCTCCACGCCCTGGGCTGCACCTGCTCACAGAGGTGTCTGCTTCAGCCTCTCTCCAGGTGCCCGTCCTGCCTTGCATAGCCATCCCACAGTCCTCCAGCAGGTGCTTCCTGGGGACCCACAGAGCTGGCCCTTGTGGCACTTGTAACCAGGTGGTGCAGGCAGAAACCACAGGGCCCGAGGAGGGCGAGGGCAGGCCTCGGAGCACCACGGCTGAGGTCCATGCAGAAAGCCCGCCAAAGGGCCGTGAGCCAGAGGCGGGAGGGCAGGCAGGTCCCTGTAGCTTGGCGTGGGTGCCTGTGCCATTAGGGGAAGGGGTGTGCATCACTGACTGGGGTGGCGCTGACCAGGGTGCTGACCATTGTAGATCGCATCAACATCAAAAGGAAGGGTGCGTGGCCTTCTACCCTGCTGTCAGTGCAACACGTCATTGACTGCGGCAACGCAGGCTCCTGTGAGGGGGGCAGTGACCTGCTGGTGTGGAAGTACGCCCAAGAGCACGGCATCCCTGATGAGACCTGCAACAACTACCAGGCCAAGGACCAAGGTGGGTCCTGCTGATGCCTCCCACTTCTTCTTCCAAGCATGGTGTGGCCATGAGCCCAGCCAGCCCCCAGCCCTGTGCTTTTTACTTCATGGCTGGGACCCTGGGGAGGGCAGGTGAGAGAATGCAGCCCCGGGGAGTGAGCCCCCAAAGATCCACCTCCAGCCTTGCCCTGGGCCACCTTGAGTGTGGTGAGGCTGGGGACAGATAGCTGGATCCTGTGGGCCTTGCTGAAACCTGACGACAAAGGCTGGTGTGGAGAGGTGTCAGAAGGGCATTCACTCCCAGGCCTCCAGCTTTGGGCAAGACCAGACCAAGTGCCCCTGTGGGACCTGGGTGTAGCGTGTGGGCTCTGACATTGGGAATTTTGGTGGTTTTATGGGCTCTGTAGGGGCGGGGTGCACGTGGCAGTGGAGGGAAAGGTTCGTCTTCTAGGCAGAGTGCAGAGTGGGCGAAGGAGCTCGAAGCTGGCAGGCCCAACTAGAACACAGCATTGGCCCGGTCTCTGCCTCAGAAGGGAGGGCCTGGAGTCCCTGTAGCTGCACATTCCTTTTAGGCTGTTACCTTGGAAACTGAAGGAAAGGAAACGCCCAGACCCAAACCCAACATTGGCAACTCTAAGCCACTGGACTCTCAGATCTCCCTCATAGCCAGTGCGGAGAGCTCTAGAAGACTCAGAAGGCATCTAAGACAGGAGTGGGAAATGAGGTGTGGAGGGGCCTGAGAAAGATGGCTGCCTGCCCTGTGCCCTGAAGCGGTGGAGGATGCTCGCCTCCTTGCTTGCAGGGTTTCTTCACCTTGCCTCCTGGGTGTTACCGCATAGCCAGAAATGGCTCTCTAGACTGGTGGGTTAAGTGCTTTGTGTAGCTGAGGAAACCCATCAAGGTCACATACCTGAGAACAGCGAAGGTGAACCTTTGAGTGCTAACAAACAGCTCATGGTGGCCTCCCTGTCCTAGGTTTGCTGCCACCGCCCAGAGGAAGGACTGGTGGAGGGTGGAGGGAGGTGGCGACTGCCCTGTGGGACTGGGTGGGCCCTGGGGCCATGTCTACTCCATTTGACTTCCAGGCTGATGTTCTGCAGCCAGGGCCAGGCCCCTCTCAGCCCACCAGCCTGACAGCTGGCTAGAGCTCATCAGAAGCCTGTCTGCAGTAAGCAGTCTCACCTGATACTTTTGTAATAGCCAACGTAGCCGCAGATCCACAACTGGCCAGCTGTGCTAGGCACTGGGCTTTGGTGTCCGAGGGACAAATCAAACCCAAAATTTGATCTGCAAGGACTTTACTGTCTTCGGGGAAGGCTTAGACAGATGTGTAACGTAAGTAGTTAACTGCAAAACGGTAAAAAGACACGATAGGGCCTGGGCAGGCCGGGCAGGTAGAATATTCCAGGGCTGTGAAGAACACAGCAATGGAGCAGTGTCAGGCAGAACAAAGGTTGTGGGGTTCTTTCTTTCCCTTTTCCTTCTTTGTCCTCCTCCTTCCCTCCCTCTTTTCCCCTCCTTTCATTTCTTCCTCCTTCTTTCCTCTTAAACCAAAACAACATGAAAGAACGTGTATTTTTTTAACCATATGTATCAGCCTATTTATTCACTGGCCAGCAAGAGTCTCCTTAAGTTCCCGGGATTTAATTACATTCAGCATTCAGCTGTAAAGTATTGTGAGAAGGTTCTCCTAGTGTGAAAAGGCAAAAAGGAACTTCCTCAGAATGCCTACTGTGTGCCGATTACGGTTTTTTTCTCCCTCGGCCTGGGGAAGGCTTCCTCTAAGTCCTGTGCAGCCGACAGAGGAGTGTCATCACACAGCAGCTGAGAGCAAGATGGTTTCTGTTGTCAGCTAGTGAATGCTGGGCTCACCTAGAACAGTGGAGAGGATCTGGGTGCGCCTGTAAGCAGGTTAGTGCGGAGGCTCTCATGCTGACCTCTTGCTCTCCCCCAGAGTGTGACAAGTTCAACCAGTGTGGGACCTGCACAGAATTCAAGGAGTGCCACACTATCCAGAACTACACACTCTGGAGAGTCGGCGACTATGGCTCTCTCTCGGGGAGGGAGAAGATGATGGCAGAGATCTACAAAAACGGTCCCATCAGGTGAGGAGATCTGCCCACTGGAGTCCCGCCAGGTGAGGCCATGCAGGGCACGTGTGCGGGCATGCACACCCATGTCATTTTTACTCACTTCTGGCCAGTTTGACTTCCTTAGCTTGAGCTACAGCTCCCACATACCCTCACCTTTAAGGTCACTTTTCCCAGAAGTAAACCCAAGCCAGTAAGTGATCTGCCTCTGTAGCAGCGTGTGCAGTGTGCAGAGAAGCCCCTGCAGGAGCCTGTACTGTGGTAACAATGCGAGTGCAGCCGAGTGCACGTGCTGGACCGACACGTCTCTCCCCTGGGAATTCTGCTTGTTCACAGCTGTGGTATAATGGCAACAGAAAAGATGGCTAACTACACCGGAGGCATCTACGCCGAATACCATGAGGATGCCTTCATCAACCACGTCATCTCTGTGGTTGGATGGGGTGTCAGCAGCGACGGGACAGAGTACTGGATTGTCCGGAATTCGTGGGGTGAACCCTGGGTAAGACATTCTCACTCTCAAGGTGGACTAGGTGGAGCCCACACTTCCCTCTCAGTGGTGTTGGCTTCCGGCTGAGGACTGCAGCTACCAGCTTCTTGTTGGCCATTTCTCAACCCCAGCAGGACACCTGAAGCCAGACCCTTTACTATGTGGAGCTATCAACGTCCCATGCATTGTAGGATGTTTGGCAGCATCCCTGGCCACCAGCCCCTACCTGCCACTAGTTGTTCCTCAGCCGGTATCGTGAGCAAGCAAAGCTATGCTCAGCCTCCCCAAGCCCCTGAGGTGAAGCAGACCCAGGTGCAATGGTTGCATGCTGCCTTCTGCACTTTTGGAATTTCCTAAGTAACACTAATTTTTCAAGAATACTATTTGAGTTGGGTCACAGATCAGGAGAGGGCTGGGGAGATAGCTCAGTGGCTCACTGCCTGCCTGGCAAGTGCAAGGTCCTGAGTTCAATCCTTGGTACCCACCCCCATGTATATATATATTTATATATGTCTATATCCAGGGAAGATAAATGCCATAGCTGATTTTTAAAACCTAGTATGAGCCATTAATAGTTTAAGACCCAGAAATTATGACGAAATAAGGAAAAGTAGTAAACCAAAGTGATGAAATGGATTAAATGCCCACAGGTGTATCAGTAGGTACATAAGTCAGGAGCCAACATGTTTGGTCACACTAATTAGCTATTGGGATAGGGCTCTGGTGTTAAATATTTACCAACTGAAATACCTCACAGAGGCTCACGGGAAGAGTGACGGCAGCTGTGCAGGGTGTGCAGACACATTTCCTGCAGGGCTGGGCTGAAGGGCAGAGGCCAAGAGCAGGGGAGGGGCTGCACGTGAAGGGGCTGACGCTGCCTTTCCCCCTCCAGGGTGAGAGAGGCTGGATGCGGATAGTGACCAGCACCTACAAGGACGGGAAGGGCGCCAGCTACAACCTGGCCATTGAGGAATCCTGTGCATTTGGGGACCCCATCATTTAGGGTGCATGTCTCTCGAGGCAGTTTTCTAGATAGGCCATCACGAAGCCGATGGCATGTTCACGAGCCTGATGAGCAGGACTGGAGCACACTGGACACCTGGACGCCACTTTCTGGATGAATGGGCATCCTGAAAACGTGACAACAGGCGTCTTAGAACGCCGCACAGCTCCGCCTCCGGACAACCGTGTCAGCCCCCAGTGAAGAATGACCCTTGAGACACGAAGCATGTGGCCTCAATTTCCTTTTTTTTTTTTTGGTATTTCTTATTAGCAACCATGGTCTATAAAATGGCATTTAAGAGGTAAAATGGTTCAGACTTATCACTGGTTCTTCTGTAACCTTAGAATCAGTGTGGAGGAAGGGAGGGAGCAATGTCAGATTACCCAAGTGATAAATAAAACACCTGGCGTCACCCAAGGACTCGAGCCTTCGCGTGCCTTATTTATAATGAGAACATAACATCAGGGCCTACACCTTCCAACTAGCAGAAAGGATTTTTAAAAATTTATTTCGCGGTCTTAACAAATTGAAACAATCAAAAAAAAAAAAAATCAACCAACCAGTTTGGTTCTTCTGAGCAAACTTAAGTCTACTGAAAGCAGTTCAGCAAAATGTCTCAGTTTCTGAATTCCTAGCATCCTCGGCTGACTGGATTTGTCCTGAGAGGTAGTATGAGCCCAATTCCTGTGCTAAGGGAGATGAACACGGCACACAGGACGTAGGAACAATACTGGGTTGACAATAAAGAGAAGGGACTGTCCATAATAGCAGGTTCTCACTTACACCGCTGACATTTTCCTCTGAAAAAATTATCCATCACCCCCCCCCAAGCAGATCCCACATCCAAGATGCTCACTGAGCCTTTTCAAACAGCAGCTTCCTGAAAGGGTCCTAAACAGCCAGGTCCTAGGAGGTTCTGCTTCAGCCTGGGGATGTTCTGATTCAGTTCACCATGATGAAGTTAGACTTGCAGTGAGCTACAGCAAGAGACACAGTCACAGCTAGAATCAGGAGGGGAAAGGTGACAGGGACCACTGCAGCAAAGGGACATTCACATAGGCCTCACCAATAAATTCTGTCACGGGGTCATGTTCGCCTTCTGTTTTGATGGTGCCTGCAATGCTATCATTTTCCAAGATGGGAAGGAAGAGCTGCACGAAGTCCGAGGTGTATGGAGGAGCAATGACATCCAGCACCTGTGTGTGGGGAAAGCAGGGGTTTCTCTGCCTGACAGTGTGGAACACCACAGCAACTGGGTGAAAAAGACGTAGTCTGGAGATCAGCCCCCCGCCCCTCTGGCTTCCCTGGTGACAACATCAGTGCCCAACGCTAAGGTACCAGGGTGGTAATGTGGGGAAAGCATATAACACAGTTCCTACAGGTAGGAGGTACCCAGCAAAATTGCTATCTGTCATTACCACCTCCATGATTTATAGAAGCACAGTTCTCACAGTCAGGCACAAAATGAACTAAATTAAGTTAAAAAGGGCACTGCTAGTCTAAAGAACAAGAAACACGAAACCGATGGTGCATTGCTAACCTCAGTGACAAAATAGCGAATGAGTGAAATGTCAGTGTCCAGCTTCTCCAGACACTTTCGGATGTAACTGACAACAGGAAGTACATAACCTCGACTCAGCAGGTGAACCATCCGGTCCAGCAGGGTCTTCTTCAGCTCAAGCTATAGAAGAGCAGGAGCAGAGGAGCTGGTCAGAACGGGGTGGTCCCCCAGCCCCAGCAAGCCCTGTGGGGCCACTCACCTGCTCCATTACGTCCAGCTGGGAGTGCTCAGTCTCAAAGAGCTTAACAAGCAGCTGCAGAACCTGGGGGTGCAGGAGCTGGTGGCAGGTGCTGATCTATAAACAGGTCAAAGGGAACCTCGCTGAGAACCATCAGGTCTCCAGGCTCCTTCTCAGAACACAGAGAACGACTGTCATTGTCACAGTTACCAAACGTTATTGCTGAGGGTGAGTCTTTAATGCCCAGCTTCTGGGCCATGCTCATCTCTTCCATAATGTTTAGTAGACACTAAGAAACCTACACAGTCAATACAAGTCCTCACTCAGGATAGAAATAACTAGTTTTTTTGCTTTGTTTTTGGGTACCAGAGATCAAACGCTTGCAAGGCAAGCAGCAGAACCACTGAGCTAAATCCCCAGCCCCGAGAAAGAACTAGTTTTGGACAGAGTATCTACCAAGCTCACCAACATGCACAGGAAAGACACAGACTCACTGCATCTAACACAAGTGGCCCCTCTGGCCGCATACCTCGTCCAGCAATGCCAGGTGCACTGGAGTATGGTCAGTCTGCAGCTGGAAGTACCTGGGCTCTGACACGGTCCAATCCACCCATTTCAGCACCCCCATTGCTACCACCGGAAACCTGCAGGTAATCAGGCAGAATGCCTCCTTTAAACTGGGCAGGAAGAGTGCCCAAACATGCCACGAGTAAGAACAAATTCAGAATACCCATCAGCTCCCCATTTAGTGTGTGCTGCCAGGAGTTGCTTACAGTGGAAATGCCTCTCACAGGTATACAGCAAGCAGCAGCCTGAGTCTCCTCCCTCCGTTCATTCGAACTGCTTTACTGATTGAAATGGAAGACTGTTCCTGTGAAACACTCTTGAGTCTGCCGGGACCAGCTCAAGTTTACCTTTACTTAGCAAACGTTTCCTTCGTCCCCAGTACAAATAAAGGGAGAAAAGACCTAAACTGCTTGGAGGAGGCACTATTTCTAGGACACACATTTACATAACTGGCATAATCATTAAGTCATTTCTACATAAGCCACACTTTGCTACTTTATCACTACAAATGGATCCTTTCTTGGAAGCAATTTTTGTAATTCTGGATGGTTTTCCTTTTACTAAATCTAACCTGTGAAGATTTACTGAGCAGATTTCTGCCCAGTAATCACCTGAAAATTACTTTTGCCGCTAAACCTGTTTAAATTCATATGTTTAAAAAAAAGCAAAACCAAAACAATGCATAAGTTCCCAGGAGCTTGTTAGGGGAGCTTTTCATATGAAAACCTGAGCCACCTGCCCTGAGGATTCAGTGTGGGAATCGGTTCCACTGCTCACCTAATGCACTGATAAAGTGTGCTCAGTTCTGCCACCAGTTCAGATGCCCCTTTGTTCTCATTACAGCATAAATTGTGCACGGTCTCCACAGCTTTCGATGTTGACTTCAGCTCATCTTTATTAATGCTCACCCGCTTGTTCTGAAAACACATGCACGGTGCATCCTGCTGTCAGGTACCCTGGCATTGGCCGCTTCTCCCAGCAGGTCCCCTTCCCTATCTCTGAAGTCAGAGATCAAGTTAACTGTCTAACTGCAAAGTAACACACAGTATGAAAAACCAAAAGCCAATGAGACTGGAGTTTGTCTCTAGCTTAGACAGTTTCATTTCTTTGCACAAATCTTATGCACAAACAGAAGGAACATTTCTAACTCTAGGGAGGATCGAGTTCTTGCAGCCCAAATTCCCCAGTAATACCACAGCAGAGGACCCTTGGCTCCTCAAAGTCCACAAGAGCTGACTACCTTCTTCCACGTCTCAACCACACTTGCTGCATAAGCCAAGATGTGGATGTACTTGTGTTTGTGGTCCTGGTTGATCCGGGCGCCTGGTTTGAAGAGAGACTGCATGAACAGGTCCAGGAAGGCCGGAACCCGGATCTGAGAAGCACACACCAGAAGGGGGCTGGCAGGAGGGTGAACATGTACACTCACACTCACCCTGCAGGGCTCTGGAAGCAGGGGGTCCACACCAGAAGGCTGACATGTGAGAGGAAGGGTGAGAATGATGGAAACCTCTCCATTTCAACTGGGATTTGCGTTCACCGCCTTAAGAGAATTAGGGAAATGCAAAGCGACCCTGCCAATTAGCATTGGGGTGTCTCAGCTTATTAAAAGCAGAGGTCACTTACGAGTTCAACGGGAGGAGGGTCCATGCTTGTGAACATCTTGAACAGGACTGTGATGTCTGCGGGGTTCAGGGCTCCTTTGGACAGCATAGCCCCAAGGGCCTGGCAGGCACGGGGGTACGAGGCAGCTGTGCCCAAGGCCAGTGTGATCTGACTGGCATCATGGCCTCTTGATGGAAAAACGACACAGCTGTCACCAACAAGCCAATTTTTTTCCATTTTTCTTTCTCTCTTTGCTTTTTACCATTTAATGCCTCAAATTATTGAGATTTCTTTCTCATATTTCTGTCCTTCACTGGTTTTCTGACTAAATGACATGAAAACACTTAGAGCAAACTGGAAAAAATTATTCCAATACAGCTTGCAGATGTGATACAGGAAACCACACATTTTTAAACTCTTAATAAGATCTATTAGTAGAAGGAAATAAAGTTAGTAAGAGAAAACTGCTCTACCAGATAGACTACAGTATAACGATCAGATCAGTGAGTTACTACCCTAAAACTCTCGTTACTTGCTATTGAAGACCCAAACATAGCATGGGCTACCCAGCCAGGGAATTAAAGAATAATCAAGTACTTTACAAAATAGTCATCAAAGCAAGAGTCTGAAAGGCAAGTTCTCCATGTGAATTAAAAACTACCCCGACTTCCAGCTCTGCAGGATACAAATTTACCTAGATGTTAGAACAGAGGGCTGGAAGCCTGGCTGTGGACTAGGGACAGGGGCTTCAGGGGAAAGGCAGGAAGCAGAAGCACGGCCTCACTTCTCCTGGGCAAAGCGCTGCACCTCTTGTGCGACTCTGCGTACCGCAGAGCCGCCCTGCTCCTCCTGAGCCAGCACGGACATCATGGCCTGGGCAAACAGGTACGTGTGCTCCCCGTGGCACACCATCTTCTGGAAGGCGACAGGGAGACAGAGTATGGGGTCTCAAAGACTAACAAGTACAGAGAAAAGTTCTCAGGCAGGGAAGTTACGCTTGGTGCAGGAAGGGGCTTTTCACGCTTGAAACCCAAAACCCCAAATAGCATCTTAATCCAAGATTTACAAAGTAAACAACTTACAGCAAACTCGGGAAGATTTTTTTCAAGGTTTTCTTCTCCTCCGTCCAAGATTGTGGCTAGTGAGGTTCGAAGCACTCTAGAGAACACTTCCAATTGCTGACAAGCAGTGGACACGCTGGTGATCTCCCCTTGGTACCCTGCATCGGAAATCAGCTGCCACACAAGAACAAGTGTCAGAGTCCAGCGACTCCACCTTTCAGGGCAGTACGGCTGGCCAGTCTGTGGTGAGTTGGGTACCCAACCTTTACTGCCTTTACTGTGCTTCCTGCTTTGCCACTGTCTAGGCCATGACCCGAGGTCACCACCTATGCAGGGTCTCTATGGGTAGGAGGAAGCAAAGGAGCAGGCACACTTACAGGTTCGTAGAACACATACTCATTCTAAACAAGTCCCTGTTAAACCTAAAACAAAGCCGGGTGCGGTGGTG